CATTTTATACTTTTTAATTATATTCATGCTGGTAAAAAGTAATTTTCAATGTCAAATCAAAAATATTGCCTCACTAATTTCAAATTCAATTTTAAAAATTATAATTATTTCATTTGCTGACCGCAAATATCACCCACATTATTACATAAAATATACTGGTAAGCATACGAAAGAAGTGTAGACGCTTCCAGTCTTAGCCACTGATTGACATATTTCAATTAAAAACCACACACACACACACATAGCAGCGTTGATATTTTGTCTTTAATTATTTCTATTTTCTGAAAATATCAAATTGATTTTATTTCATGCGATACAAAAAAACTCCTGTGAACACATACTTGCACATATATGTAGTATGCAACAGACACAACCAAGTCAGGCTGTAGATGCTTGTGTGTGTGAATGTGTGCATCACGCTTGTTTGTTATTTTAGTGAAATTTTCCTGTGAATTCTAGCGCTCATAATCAATCAACGCAAATTGTACGGCTATGCGCCACCAACAACAGCAGGCCGCCGATCTTTCTTCTAGTCACGGCATTCCGACTGACTGTCTGGCACTCATTTAGCCGCTCCGCGCTCCCCCACTCGCTCTGCACAACACGAACTGCTAGCACCCTCCAGCCTTTGTAAAGGATTTGTTGTTGCCGTTGCTGTTGTTGTGGAAGCGCCTAGTAGGGTGTTGTGTGTATTCGGTTTCGGATGGCAAACGGCGAGCGGCGGAGCGAATTTTCCACGTCACAGTTTTCAATGGCTGAGAAAGTATGTCTGATTGACTGCTCCCTAGCGTCTCGGGCATCGACTATCTATTGGCGCAAGTAGTTGGGTGTCTTTTTGATTTTCTATTTACTACTTTGACGGATATGGCGGGTTCCATATACTTAGTCACTAATTCGGCGTTGTGCTCCTTGCTTTCAAGGCGTCACAATAACGTCAAGTTGCCGTCACTGAACTTTGTGACAGATTAAAATCCATTAAGTTGTCATGTCAAAACCGAAAAAAAAAGTGAAATGAAAAATTTTATTTCGAAGACATTTGTATGCTGTTAATATGTGTAGGGCTGTAAACTATGTTTATGTTCACATGTAGTATGTGCCATAGAGCAAGGATGTTGCTGAGATGTATACAGGGATGTATGCAGCTGTGTTTTTTATACACTATGTGATTTGTTTCTGAATATTTTTTGTTGGGTTATGTTATGTTACGTTATGTTATGTTACATTATGTTATGTTATGTTAGAAGAAGTTGTGTTATATCATACTTTTTGTTAAGTTATGCTATGTTAAGTGACGTTATGTTACGTTAAGTTGCGTTACGTTAAGTTGTCTTATTCTATATTATATGATTTTAAGTTAAGCTAAGTTAGGTTAAGTTATGCTATGTTGCGTTGATTAATTATTTCTTTTACATTTTATTTTTTTCATTCTTTTCCATAGCATATATTTTTATTTCTAACTTTTTCATCTTTAAAAATCTCTAAAATTAATTTGTTATATTACGTAACTAACTTATTTCTCACTGTCTTGAATGCATTTTGCCACATAAATAAAATTAATTCAATTAAAAAATACCTATACAACTTACAAACGAACATTTATGTAAGTACACTTTGCTAACACATGTCTCAAGCACAAGCAACAACCTCACTCAACTAATTTAATAATGTGTTACAGTCTCGTCAGTTCCTCCTTCAATATAAATATAAATTTGGTGCCATATTTTATAGCTTGTCTCCGCAATATAAGCGCACTTAAGACCTTACAACTTGATACATGTATGTATATACATAGATGTGCATGCATATGCATTTATAAATATACAAATAATATTAAAATATTACTTTTCACCGGCGACGCGACATTCATAGTTTCTTCAAACCAAAAAAAAAAAAAAAAAAAAAAAAATATCGCACATCGTAAATGAAAGCCTACAAGTGCGTCCGCTGCACACGGCCACTGAGCAGGTTTAGGTTTCCGTCATTTAGTCAATGCCCTCATGCCAGCA